CAAATCGACAATGTTGATTTTCTTGGATTTTTTTTCTTTCTCCTTTTTGTTCTCCTCATAGTTTGAGTATACCTTAGGGATTGAAAAATTACAGGCCTTTTTCATTCTTTTTAAGTGGGAGAACTTGCACAATGGTTGGCTGACCTTAATCTCCAACGTTGATCTATGAGAAGCTACACAATTCTATACCGTACTTAGTTAAATGTGTTGATTTTTATGAATATTCAAACACCTTGGGATGGACTGACCATCCGCATAGAAGAGGGTTTTCCATTATTCATTTAAAATATTTGACATACAAGTGCTGTGGTTTTGGTAAGGCTGATATTGGTGATGGCTTCTTTGTTTGGCCATACAGTGGTGTGGTTGTGTGGTTTGGTGTGTCTCCCCTATTCCCCCTGGTGCAGGTGGGCTGTGTGGCTGGCTAATGTGACAGCCTAATTCCTGCGGGGCGGATGGTATGAGCTCTGATCTTTTTTGCCGAGGTCTCTCGGGCTGATTAGACGGGTGCATGACAACCAGCCAGCTGGGTGAAAGAGCAGTCTGTGAAGGGGAGGGGGGTGAGACAGAAGGTTGGCGGCTGTACTATCATGCTGCTGGCTGCCCTGGCTTTCTTCCACCGGTGGTCGCTCTGCTCTGCGCCATTGTCTGATGTGTGTCTGCCCGTCAGAGCTTGGGTTTTATTTGCCTTGAGGCATTCCCCTGTGTCAATTTACTTCTTCCCTTTGAGAGCCTTTTCTTTTCGGAGACAGACACATTATTGTACATGTCCGCCTTTCCTGGTGGTTCAGGAAAGGCGGTAGTGGGGTTAATATTGAAAGGTTAGGACTTAATATAGCCATGTTGTAACCCTATCTTGAGGATTCCAATTACATATTGCAGATTGACTGAATTTGTGTTGCTTTTAGTTTAGTATTACATTTTTTCTAGTGTCACCAGCTCTCTCAATTTTGGACCAGTTTATTGCGATATTATATACTGATTGTAAAAGCAGCACTTCATTTATTTGTATTATGTGATGGTTTTAATTTCAGTAATCGAATAATTTTTCAAGGCATATCTAACATATGAAGATATGTTCCCATATGCAAATCTCTTACCATTAATGTGTGTCTTTGTTATTAGTGGATTAACCAAGGGATTTTCTTCATCAAATGCTCCGCCCTTTTTGTGTCACATTCGTCTGAGCTGACTGTCTGTCTTTTCTTCCTGGATTATGAGCGTATCATGGGTCTGCTCTGGGGGTTTCATTGATGGGGAGGAAAACAATAATGTTTCATCTGGTTTTAGATTTGTTGAGGCGGGGTTACGTTGAGGGGCTTTTTCTGTCTCTGATTTGGTTCTTCTCGCTACGAGGTATTAAGTTATCTCAGGCTAGTGTGATTGTAAGCGTTGAACGAAAAACCACTTTTGTTCTGATATGATAACCCACATGCTGAGGGGTGGATGTTGTGTGTGCTGTGTGTTGTGTACTGTGATTGAATAGTATCATGATCGATTTAGCTTAGGTGATTAGATGCTGATTCACGGATTGACCTAGTTTGGGAGAGAACTAAATTTCATGATCGCATCTGATTTCGCTGTATCTTCAATCTACGAGATTATGTTCGTCAATCCACGGCTCATGTCGGCTAGGGGATGGTGAGACGAGGTGGGGTGGAGTGGGGGGAGGTGGGGGTGTGTGTGTGTGTGTGTGGTGGGGGGTGTTGGTGTGGAGGTGGTGGGTGGTGTGTCGGGGGGGTGGTGGGGCGTGTGTTGTGTGTGTGGTTGTGTGGTGTGTGTGTGTGTGTGTGTGTGTGTTGTGTGTGTGTGTGTGGTGTGTGTGTGTGTTGTGGTGGCCTTTTAGCAAGCACTGTGGGCAATTGTGTGTGGTGGAGGGGTGTTGTGGTGATGGTTGGGGTTTGATATGTCGCTCGCCACGCTGTCGCGAGATGTTAGTTGTTAGGCCTGTTTGTGTGCGTATGTATGTGTTGTGTGGAGGACGAACATGACTACAGTAGGGTCGTATCATGTAGGCCATACAGAGATTGTTTGTCAGATCCATTAA